TAGTTTTTTTATCACATTGTGAATTATGAAAGCATCTTAAGTTTTTGTATGTGAAATACTTATGGATTAGAGTATGAATATGTATTGGACACCATGTGCAGCCCATTGCATAAATTTGATGTTTGAAGATATCGGAAAGTCTAATCAAGTGAAAAATAATATCAAGAAAACCTTGGAGTTAGCTAACTTTATATGTAATCATAATACTGTTTTTAATATAATGAGAAAATATACAACTGTTATAGAAATGGTGGGTCAGGCATCACTTATTTTGCTACTTCTTTTCTCACTTTTGCAAGCACACATAAGAAAAATAGAAATTTTAAGACGCACGTTTGCCTTTGAACATTGAAACAAGTCTAAATTTAGTGTTGGCTATAAAAGAATGAAAGCTATGAAGACCAGTCTTAGGACTACATTTTAGAATGGTGTGACTTATGTTTTGAAGATTAGAAGCCAAAATGAAGATGATGAGGTAAGTAGATTGTGGAAAAAGGTCAGTCATGTATTGTATTTAATTATTTATGATGAAATGAACAGAGTGAAGAATGTAGCTAGAGATGCATTGAAACACTTCAAGCTCCTTGATATGCAAATTGAAAAGACTGAAGAAGAGAATGTGATCTAAGTGGTTCTGGATAACCACTCTAGCTATATTCCTTTAATACTTTAAAATACTTTATGTATATATATTTTATTTTTTTTATCACACTGTGAACTATGAACATAACTTATGTTCTTGTATGTCAAATGCTTATGGATAAGAGTATGTATATGTATTGGACACCATGTGCAACCGATTGCATCAATTTGATGTTTAAAGATATTGGAAAGTCTAATCAAGTGAAAAATAATATCAAGAAAGCCTTAGAGTTAACTAACTTTGTATGTAATCATAATATTGTTTTTAATACAACAACAACAACATCAAGCCTTTAGCTCACTATAATACTGTTTTTAATATGATGAGAAAATATACAAGTGTTGTAGAATTGATGAGGTTGGGCATCACTTATTTTGCTACTTCTTTTCTCACTCTTGCAAGCATGCATAAGCAAAAAAGAAATTTGAAGACGTACGTTTGCTTTTGAAGATTGAAACAAGTTTAAATTTAGTGGTCTATAAAAGAAAGAAAGCTATGAAGACTAATCTCAGGACTACATTTAGAATGGTGTGACTTATTGCTTTGAAGATTACAAGCCCATTAATGAAGATGATGAGGTAAGTAGATAGTGACAAAGAGGTCAACTATGTGTTATATTTATGATAAAATAAACACAGAGAAGACGCAGCTAGTGATGCATTTGGAAGCAATGCAAAAAAACACAAGAAAATTATTGGTATCATTGCTAAAAGATAGAGGTGTCAACTCAGGAAAACATTATATCAAGCTGATTACTATCTGCATTCAAAATATTTTTACAAGATTAAATCTAAAATACAAGTAGATGGAAAATTAATTGAAGGTTTATATGCATTTTTTTGTAGATTAGTGGGAAACCAATATGAGAGACTGATCATAGTTCAATAACTCTCTATTTATTACTATGTTGGTAGCTTATTTGCAACTGAGTTTGTCATCCATAATAGAGATAATAAATCTCTATGTATAATTATTAATTATACTTTTATATAATTTTAAACTTAAATGACTTAGTGTTTATCAAGCATAATCAAATTTCGAAAAAAAAAATCAATTTAAAAAAGCTATTAATCTAATTAATTTGTATTATATTAATAAAAGTTATGAGTGGTTAACTTAGGAAATATAGGAAGCTTTGAGGAAAGTTTGGTGATGAATATCTAGCTTAGAAACACATTGAAAAGGCATCAGGAAAAATTAATTGAAAGTTATCTATAGGATTTAATAGGTCAAAAACAAGAGGAGATTTATTCATAATAAGGGCTGGTGCATAACGACATGCAATCACTTTTGTTGTTGTTCAAGAAAGAGAGTATGAGATTGACTCACAAGAAGGAGAAGCAAAAGTGGATTTTCAAAATGAAGAAATTCTACATTAAGGAGAAGGATAATGTGAATGAAAAAGATGAAAAAAGGCTAATAAATTCCCTTTAGCTTGCTTTATAAATTTCTATAGCTCGCATTTAACTTTAACTTTTGCTACAAACTAAATATATTTTTATTCATTCTGGAAGTTCGTCAATTTTACATTAAACTACTAAACTAGTTTTAAGTTTTTTATCTTTTATTAATTCCTATGCATAATAGAAATTGTTGGAAATTATTATAATTTAAACTTGCATTTTCAATTTCAAAGTTTATCCTCAAATCAGGCATGTACACACATTTCTTTTCAAATTTATATCCAAATTTAAGTTATTTATTAAATAATTCATATTTTATAATTATTTCTAAATGAATTATTATATTTGTTGAAATTTATTACTTGATGAGATTTTAATTTGATTAAATAAATGTTTATCATGTGTGTGTGAGAGTGTGTGTGTATATATATATTATGATCACTCTATTTAATAAAAGTGTTGCTTCGCTTTGCTTTGTGTATTGAAGCAATAAGAAGACCTTGTGAATTGCATTGTGCTTTGTACTTTAAAATGTTATGTTACCATCGTCAAGGAATTTGATTAGCAATGATCATTACTTAAATTTTGAAAGAATATGAACTTTTATTTCATTATGCAAATATAAAAAGAAATGTTTTTTAATAAAAATAATCTATCATCCGAATCTTCAATAAAAGATGGAGAAAACAAGGAAGAAATTGGCCATGATAAAGACAATATTATGGAACCTTTCCATACAAGCATGACCTAATTTTACACAGAAACATGGGCGTGCCCTACCATCTTTCTTGACCTTCCATTAAAATTCCAATGCAAGAAATGAAGTTTTTGGCACTTTATAAGCAATGATTTATTTAATTAAGTTAAAAATAATTATGCAATCAAATTATGAAGATTTTAAATCTTTCTGTATATTAATATTTATAAATATTGGGAGAGTTGTATTAAAAATATCATGTTGGGTTGAAGCGAAGGAAGGTGTCACTTGTTTGTAATGAACGGTGAGGCTTGGTAACTTCTTACTATTATGATTCATGGGTGAGTTCGAATATTATTTATATATCCCTCTATGTTATAATTTTTAGGAATTAATAACATTATATATTTACCTAGTGTCATGTTCCATTGTTGCTATTATGGGTAGCCCACCTTCCATCCCTATCAGAACATAGAGATCCGAGAATTCACTAGATTATCAAAAAGTAAAAGACTGATATGGCTGAACGAATGTATCAGGCTCGCCCTCTGATCCTTTTTTTAAATTTAGGTTGAGCATAATTTTATAATAAATACAACATTTGAGTAACATAAGTAAAATTATATAGCACGACTAATAAATACTCATTTTCAAATGTATAAACTTAGCTACCTTGCAGCTTTCTAATCACATTGAGAACTCATGATGGGAAACAAATAAAGGAGTTCAAGTGAAGCTACTGTTGACCAAGTTGGCAAGTAACATTGAGTGATTGAGACTTGGGCGAGTAGCATTGAGAGTATGACATTCATTTGGCAAGTTAGGCTATTAACCTTAACAACTTTTAGTGATATATGGGTTGAATAAGCAATTATCAAGCATAAAGGGAAATGAGTTGAATAGGTTTGCCAACTTGAACTCTGCAACGAGTTTATTATGCTCTTAGATGACTTCCATTTGATGGTGAATTAACTCGCTTCACTTGCAAATTAGCTTTAAACGGGACTTTATAAACTTGGTTTAGACAATATTGGGTGTGCAGGACCTTAACCTTGGGCAAATATGTGGCTCTTAGTTAATTTTGTTTGGAATTCTTCCTGCTGACATGATTTCCAAGACTGCAATTCTAGGTCTCCTATCTCAAACTTTTCCCCTCTTTAATTTTCTCACATCTAAAGTGAAATCAAGCAAATCTGAAGAGGAAAAGATGACCAAGAAGAGGATCTACATCTCCAATCTCTCCATCACTTTCATAAGGAACTATTTATCATGTGTTGCATCAATAAATAAAAACATTCAATAGGATAATCAAACTCTGACTGAAGTTCTTTATAAGTAAATGAGTTCAAGCGCTATGTAGTCATGTTTTATTCACTTTCAATGAACAACAAAATATAAGTGTCATTCCTAATTCATAGAACAGCTAAAAAGAAAGTATGAACATAAATTATCACGGCTCGACTAAGTACAAAAATAAGTTGATTTTCCAGTTTTCCTAAAAGACATACTAAAATTCAATACAAAATTTTAAGTATTGGACAAATACATAAATTAAGAAATAATAGATAATCTGCAGCATGCTACATATTTGAATGAAGTCCAACATTTAAAAAGGTTCATACACCAAGTAGTTATGATTTTTATTTTCTAGACACTGCCTAAGCAAATATCATTCTTTTCTCATTTAAAAGCTCAAAATAACGCAGAGTCATTTAGAAAGTAACATTATCATTAATTTATAAAACATGTGCGACAATTAAAAACTCAATAATAAAAGTCATCATACCTAAAGTATAAAATGTCAGCATATCAAAATCCTAAACACATTGCATATAGATTAAAGTAATTACTTAATTGCAAGATCTCCTAACTGCACTATCACGGTTTGATACACTTACGCCTAGATTGTTGATCACAGAAATAGAATAAAAAAGGTTGTAGGCAATCAGATTTGTAAGATACTTACATAAGCATGTAGCTAATGATTTCAATGCCCATTTATGCTAGAAACCGATGCAGAAAGTAGCATTGAAGGGAAGTAATATGTGGATGATAATTATAAACCTTGTCATTGATGCATCAATAATATTTTGAAAAAATTTTAGCCTCATACAAGTAAACTGAAAATACTCATCATATCTTATTGTAAGCAACATTTCAAATCACAGAGACCTAAAAAGGCAGCACTAACTATTACATTTTCTTACATGCACGAGATACAAGCATGCTCAACAATGTTGGAAACTTGATTAGCTACCTTTCTGGCCGCCGTAGTGAGGTGCGGTATCCCAGAACTCCTCACGCATTCTCTTAATTTCAGACATGGTTATCGATTGTGGATGCTTCCAAAGCTTGGGCTTTCGAACCTTTTTGGTATTGTCTGCAAGAACTCAAGTAAGAATAAAGTTCAATCAAACAATAAAGAAAACACAAAAACAATTTTTAGAGGACGAGCTGGAAAGAATAGAGCAATAAAAACTTAGCTCCTACTTGAACATGAACTAGAAATTAGTCCTGCATGACAATGCATTTAAGTATGACTTCAAATTTTATGGAAGAGATAAAGGCAATAACACAGATTAAGTATGACTTCAAATTTAAACCAAGTTCAAAGCCTAATAACCAACCAAAAATCTTCAAGGTTTACACCGATGGCAGGGGCGAAGCCAAAAAAATTTATTAATCAGACACAAATTAATAATTTTCAAAATACTCTCAAACTTTTTTTGATGATTCTATTGTCTTTTCATTTAATAGTTTATAATAAAATAATATTTTGATCTATCAATAATATCAATATTTATAGTTAATAAATAATTAAAGTATATATTCTATGTTCTATTAATTTTATTACTCACAAATCTATGATTATTTTATCTCACTTTAAATATTTAGGAATTCATTTTATAAAAAATTATTATAATTATATATATTATATATTATATAATATAATATAGTATGATTTTTTAGTGATGCAAATTTTAGGTTCTTGTAACATGGAATTTATGAATATAGTTATTAATTGTAAATTTATATCATATACAAAATGTTTATATTAAAATTCATCATTTTGATTATTCTTTAAAAATATCTACATAATGAAGACATGAAATTAAGTAAAAACCAATGCGTTAATTATCTGTGGGCCAGTGGATAAGAGCTCAACACCAAAAAAAGGGATACTTGGTTCGAATCCCTGTGAAGTCGGATTTCAGGTCAGGGCAGAGGATCAGAAGTGTGAGGCTAGTCAGGATTCCTTAAGGTTCATGTTTTTTTTATTATATCTATTCTTTGTACTCATGACAAGATATATATGTGATAACTATATAGATCATGAGTATTATATATAATTTTTGGGAATGAATACAGATGTGTACATTAATGTTTTGAATTATAGAATCTATTTTGTTGTTTAATACTGATAGATGATATTAAATAGCTCTAGTTATTGTTTATTAAAAGATAAATAAATAATTCTTCCAAAATAGGTTCTGGGACATCATAACCCAGCCAAGGAAAACCCATACCAAAAAAAACCTTCCAATGTTAAGTGTTTTCAGTGCTTCTAACCAAATTATAAAGCTAACAAATACCCAAATCGGCAACAGTTATAGATGCTCTAAGGTAAACTGGAAGGCATTCAGACATCGATCGACGAAGAGAAGGAGATAGAAACAAAAGATTTTGTGGTTGATGAACTGAAAACCATTGTGTGCATTTTGCAAGAACTTCTAAAAGCGCCTCGCCAACACTAATTCCCAACACCACCATATTCTGTACTCATTGCACAATCAAAGGAAAAGTATGTGATATAAATAATAGTTGCACTGTAAATGTCATTTCTCGATCAATAATCTAGCTTTACAACTTAAAACTACAAATAAAAAACCATCCATATGAAAACAGATGAGTTAAAAAGTAGAAATTGTAGATATGAAATGTATCGAGTTATATCTTCTATCTGCAAACATTATATATGTGAGGTGTTGTGCAACATACATGACATGGATGTATGTCACATCATTTTGGGCTAGCCATTATAGTTTGATATTGGAGCTTTTTTTTATTATCGGTAAAACACATCTTCATTTGATTGGAAAGGAAGCAGGTTACTTCTACTCCAATTTTCCTTGACCATTAAATCAACTAAATGCAAAATCGCATTATGCATAGTGTCAGGACCTGAACTGTTACATTTAGGATGCAAAGTGGTTGCATTATTCGCCTGGGACATTATAATGAAAAAGTCAACTGTGTTGTCCCATAAACACTAAAACCAATTTAAGAACTTTTAAAGTGGTTTGAAGACATCAGACCTATTGAATTACAGACTCATTTATCATCGCTCCCTAGTGTACAACATCAAATTGATTTTATAACAGAAGCTTCATTACCCAACCTTCCACATTATAAAATGACCCTAACAGAACATAGTATACTACAAGAGTTTGTGGATGAATTACTAAATAAGCAACCTATTCAATCTAGTCTAAGTCTGTGTGTTCTTTCCACCTTGCTCATACTAAAAAAAGGATAGAGTTGACACACGTGCATTGGCAATAGGACAATTGAAAAATTACAATCAAATACCGCTTCCCAATTCCACGTTCAACAATCTTCTCAAAATTGAATTTGCACAGTTATTACCAACAAATTTGCATTAGACTCAATGACGAATGGATACTTGCATCCAAAACTTGACAAGGTCTCTATGAGTGGAAGGTAATGCATTTGGATTATGCAACGCTCCCTCCACATTAATGTGGCTGATGAACGAGGTACTCAAGACCATCTTAGGAAAATGTTGTGTTGTTTATTTTAAAGATATCCTCATGTAAGTTCTTCATTTGTCAAACGAATTAAACAGCTAAATGAAATTTTTTTGAACTTTTTGAACCCACAAGCTCTATCTTAACATTTCAAAATGTGAGTTCATAACCACTATGAATCTCCTTGATAAGTTTTTGTCACCACAAGTATTCAGTCATGCACAACATGTTACCTTTAAACAAGAAGAATGTCTAATTGAAAATTTAGAACTGGTTTTTCTTCTATGCATTATATAGATTTTAGCAAAAATTTTATCGGATTGGTAAAGTACTATTAAGCAATCAAGGCCCATCAATTTGGTCTGTTGTTGTGTCATGAAATGTGATTGCGTGCATCAGTGAATTTATTTTGTATGCCTGATTTGTGGCGTGAGATGAAGGTGAATTTTTGTAGGAAAAGAATCCATCTCGCATGCATCTTGCTTATGTTTTTCTGGCTCTTATTGAACTGTAACACTTGGTAGTCTCCACATCATACAAAATCTTGATGTAATAAGTAATGTTCCCAATGTTCGAAAGCTTGAACTACAACATACAAATCCTATCATAAACAATCCATTTGTCTTGTCGTACTAAATTTCTCGCTTAAAATCTCCATTGGATGGTCTTCTTGTGATAATACACCTCCTATACTTACTGTTGAAATGTTAGTGACTTAGTGTCTACCTGAAGCAGTTTTTTCAAAATCAGACAATGCAAGGATAGGTGTTGAACTTAAACTCTTATTGAGTGCTTCAAAGCTGTGTTGTTGCTTTGTCGACCAGCGAAAGATTTTTTATTTCAAAAAATCTATCACTGGTGCCATTAGAACACTGAATCTAGGGATAAAACATGATAAAAAATTACAAGCCCATGAAGCTTTGAACAACAAATAGTGAACAAGGTATTGGCCAATCCATAAGCAAAAATATTGCGAGAGCGAAATGATGAATCTTAGAGAATATACATTTGCTCCCAACTCAGTTAGAAAAAGACCCACGTAGCAAGCACAATTTTTTTGGCATTGGGTATGAAAAGATGTGGGGTGATTTGCGAAACAGTGCCCGATTTGCCAAGAATATAAAGGAAATAGCCAAAATAGTTGGTTGTATACACTTCTACCCATTTCTGACTCAATATGGGAGAACTTGATCCTTCACTTAGTATTGGGGCTACCGAGGACAAAGTTGGGAGCTGATTCAATGATGGTAGTGGTCGGCAGATTTTTTAAATTGACGCACTTCCTTTCTTGCAAAAAAAAATCTTTAATGCCCTTAACATAGCCCGCTTATTCTTTCACGAGATTGTTCGCCTCCATGGATTAAATCATAGCCTTAATTCAAAATCGAGGTGTAAAATTTATTAATTATTTTTTGTGGGAGTTATGGAATTAGTTGTGAACTAAAGTCAAACTAAGCTATGCTTACCACCCATTATCTGATAATCAAACTAAAGTTATAATCAATAATATGCTTAGATGCCTAATGCAGAACCGCATGACACAATTGGACAAAGCTCTCAATCAAGCATAATTTGCTTATAATCCATGCCTAATCACTCGAAAGGAAGGTGCCCATAGAGCATTGTCAATACAAAAATGCCCAATCATCTGCTTAACATCGCAGTTCTTCCTGAATGCAAAAACAAGACAACTAAAGTATTGGTCGAGTAGTATCAAATGTTGCTCAAGGAAGCAAGAACCAAATTGATTACTTCCAATGAACACTACAAACAAGCAGCGGACTCACACAGGCAGCGAAAAATATTTAATCCAAAAGATATTACCATGGTCCGCACAGGCAGCGGACTCACTACAAACAAGACTTATGCAAAGTATTATGAAGGAGAGAGTACTCCGCAACTATTGTACTTTTCTGCTTTTCCACTACTTTTATTCTCAGCTTTATGTCCTTTTTCGATTAACATGGAATATTACAGCCTTTATATTGTATTCGCAACTACAGTAATCAGGACACCAGGAATGTTACAGTAAGAACAAGAAAGTTATTTTCAGCTGACAAAGTTTGTTCTCTGTTATTTTAATTGTTATTCTTCCTTTCTGTTCCTAAAAGATAGAAGATCTGACGCAAGTCCAAGTAAAAGATGGCAAAGGCAGCAACTGCAAAACTAATAATCTCAGAAAGAGAACTCAAGTATCCGGCGATGGTAGCCGAGAAACAATGACATGTAGTAATTGATCGAGAGACTCGCTTAGCTGACAAGGGTATCAAATGACTGACGTAAATATGCCCAAATTTGACGTTCACTCAGCGGTTAATCAACTAAAATAATTGTTGTTCTTTTATTCGATTCAAAACCTTATCAGCACCTCCACCTCTACCAAAAACTCGGTATCTTCCCCAGGGATGGTCAGAATTGAAGGAGGAAATATTCCTACAATGGCTAATGCTTCTTAATAAAGCATCAATATGGAATAATAGATTCCACAGAAGTCACATATTTATCCAAGATAATCCTAAACAATGAACGGAACGGTGGGAGCATATTCCACTGATAAATGATCACTCAATTAAAGAATAAAAATCTAGGATTCATGAACCAATAAGCAAGAATTCAAATATCAAAATTGAATCAATAAATTCAATACCAAGCCAAGACTGAGATAAGAGGCGGAGAGAAAGGGAACTTCACCTTCTCCCTTGCTCTGCGAAGATCCGGCGCAACCCATCTTCGGAGATCCCTTCTCGATACGCCAATCAACAATCGGCAGTGATGATGGTCGGCAGGTCAGACCATCGCCAGCCGGAAAATGACCGGCGACAGCGAGGGGAGCGGACTGCAAACGCCGACGAGGTTTCCGAGGAGATTCAAGTGTAATTTCGATGGGTTTTGAGACGATATAGGTGTTGGTTTGCGAGGTCAAATAAGCATATCCTTGCGGCTGCTCACTGCAGTAGGAGCCTGGAGCTAAAAGCAGCGTTGGATTTCTCTTTCGTTAGTCAGGGTAAATAGGAAATCATTGAAAAACCTTTTAGCTTACAGTGATAGCTATCAATTAAAATCATAATAAATAACCCATGCAAACTATTACCAGCTGCCACAAGTCAATATTTCAAGAAATTATTATATGCAGACATCAGATCATTCGGAGGTCAACCAAATGTACCACGTCATCTGTACCCGCTAGTACCCCGTGCCGTTATCAAACAAAAAAAAAATAACGTGATACATCCCCACAGAATAATTTCACCAATATTTCCACTATGGGCTATAACCTGTATGATGCGCCATCAATCATAGGCTATGACCACCACTATAAATATTTCAAAACTCTTTAAGTTTATGTTGGATTAATGCTACATATGAATTTAAAAATTATATTAAATTTCAAGAAAATATAAGAATTTAAAATGCATAAAAATATTCTTACATAAATTTATCTTAATTAAAATTTATTGAATGAATTTTAAAAATAAATTTAATAAATTTTAGATTATTAATCTTGTTAAATTTTTTATTACGTCATATCTCATAATAATTATCTATTATTTATTATTTATTAAGGATAGAAATCAAGGACAATTTTGAGATGGCACGTGCCTCTCTAAATTTTTAATAAATCTGTATATATTACAGATAGATTTAAATTTTAATGATATTTGATTATTTCAATAATAGATATTTAATTTATGTCCCATCAAATACCAAAACTAATGTAGAAAAAAATTTAGGATATTATTTTGATAAATATGGAACTTAAAATTATTTAATTTAATTTAAAATGTATATACTGTATAAATTTTAATATATTATATTAATTGTAAAATAAATATAAAAATTTTAAATCCCATTCATAAATTAACAAAAAAATTTACTAATATGTATTCATTTACATAGAAAATTTTCTACACCATCAAATATAAATTAAATAATTGTAGGTTTGAATAAATTATTAAAACAAAATAATATTTTCAGATTTTAACGGACCGACACATACTGACAAAAAAAAAGTTCTCTATTTGATTTGCGGCTTTAACCGCCAGCCCCCTGCTCTCCGTGACCTCGCCTTTTATAATTAAAGAATCTGTTTTTATTATTTAAAGTTTTGTAGGGGTCATTTGATTTTGCTTGGACTTACGTGTCCTGTTCTAAGAAATATGGCAAATTGTTTGGAATTATTTTTATTTTATTTATATTTTAATGTGAAATAAAATTATGTTTATTATTATTAAAAATAAGACCTAGTTTTATAAATATATATGAGTGATGTTTTTAATATGTTTTTTTTTTTATTTTTTGAAAACTCATATGATGGGCAAGCACTTCCTCTAGGGAGATCTAGAGGTTTTAGGCTAATCTCATTCACAACATCCTCGTTGTAGAGCACATCGGTCCATCAACGATTGAGTCACTCCCACACACACAAGTATGATCAAAGTAAGTTGTGTACTCACTCAATTGCAACATTAACACATGGTGAACTCAACTTCTACCTTCATTTCGCCTTCACACTTGGCAACTATCGCCACATCGTTGATTTCTCCATCTTCCTTTATCGTCAGCAAATGATGTGTGCTCCAACAATCACCCAACACGAGTTCAAGTCAACTTGGCCAAGAACTCAATGAGTCCACATACCAAATTTATCAAAAGATAAGGCTTCATCGGCACCTGGGTTCATATAAGAAGTCACCAACATTGATATGAACTCGCCACTAAGATCAAAATATCATTGGTTTAAAATACTTCTACATGAAACTTAATAAAGTTACCAAAGCAACTTGCAAATAACTCAGCCCTAGAGGTCAATTAAGCATAATTGTTTAAAGCTTTTCTCATAGCAACTCATCAAAACTTACCCAAGGAGTGTGAACTTGGTCAAAGACTTCATGCGAATTCACCCCATTTTTGAAGTCTTAATACATATCATATATAGTTAAGATCCATAACCAACGTAGCTTCATTTTATGGATAGCCTTCATAAGATTATATTATGCAATTTAGTCATTTTTCTTAATTTTTTTTCATTTTTCTTAAATATAATATTTCATATAGTGTTATGTCATACTCCACCTATAAATAAGGGTTAGAGGATAAGCCTACGATATAACTATTTATCTTAAGTTTTGTATTGTCTATCAATAACAAATCACTAATATTCTCTCAAAATTCATTCATCACTCTCTTTCTCTTTCATTTCTCAAGTAATATTCTTAGAAAGACCCATGTATTATCCACAAACAAATTGAATTTAACATTCTCTAAGCTGCAAAATAGCAATGATCAACATCGTGGACCTTAATCCAAAGTTTGCAACTACAAAATAGAGAACAACTAGAAAGAAGAATCAATTGAGATTGGGAATCAAGAATTCTTTACCAACAAGCAACTCGTCAAAATGGATGAAAGGAACACAAGGATGATCCAAGTTTCCTTAATGTAGGCTCCTAAAGGTGCCCCTCAAATAGGCATTCTTGATAATGGATTCACTAAATCTCCCCTCCCTTAGCGCTTCTCAAGCCTTACATGATGTATTCAACCTTTGTGGACAACATAACTTATTATTTAGAAGACAACAACAAGATTATTTTATCACGAAGGATAGAGAAGAACCAATATAATACCAGTTTTCCAATGCCTTCTCCAAAGAAATTGCCAAGTCACGCCCTTTGGCAAAATTTAAAACCCCCTATCATGGGTACAAATGTGACATCTTCATTTGATGGTCAAAAAGATAAGTTGCATATTATATAGGATTAAATTGTATTATAGGTCAATGAGAGCTCTTCTTCTTTCATATTGAGTCATTAATTTTGTTGTTATGCTATCAAAGCCTTCCAGACGTGGCTTCAAAAGTAGGAGAAATTATTATGTGCAGACAATGCAAAGACCAAGGAAAAAGATTTACCCATCATCCAATCAAGTCCTATCACCATCATAATTTTCCTAATTGAATAACACATCTCTCCGTCAATCAAATGAAATAATTTATCCAAATGAAGTACATTGAGTTTGCCATTATAAATCTTCTTGTTATGGATGCCTTCCATGTGGCACTTAATTTAAGAAAGTGATAATGTTACCTTGATGACCTCGCAAGGTTGTATTAAGGATTGATCAAAATTTGAGTAAATGTTCACTCCAAAAAAAATGAAATTTAATATAAATTTTTATTATGATTTTTGGCCCAATGTTATGTGTTCCGACAAAAAAGAGGATGATCACAATCCACACAAACACGTACTGTGAAGAAACAAAAAAAAGAATTTAATGTGATTTTAAGTGTGAAGACTTTGAAAATATTGCTACAAATCAAATAATTTTACATTTTAAAAAAAACATTTGAGAAGTGATTATTTTAGTGGACTAACTAAAATGAAGAAAATAATGTACTTTTACTTGGGAGTCTTATGTGAAATGGCTTATGTTTTTTTTTAAGAGCAAATAATTTCTCATACTTGATCTAGTACTCTTGAAGCAATTGCGCTTCCCTACTAATATAGATTAGAGGCAAGAGAAATCATTATCTTATCTGAAGGAAAAAACTAATACACTATCATGGCTTACTTCATCATAGTTAATTGATGCTCGATGACTTCAACCAAATTTTTTGTCATCCCCCCTCCCTAATGTATTTGTGGTAATGATATCCACTTAGCACATTGTGATAAAGTTGTAAATGAGAGAACATGTGGTCACCATTAAGAGAAAATTATTGTAGTTAAGGACATGTTACCTGAAGGCTATAGGGATCATGCAAAATGAGGTCATATAGCTTGAAACCCAAAAGGGAATGTAACAACTCAAAAATGTAAAAATAGTCTAAAATATAAATTTTTAATTTTTGGTTTGAACTAAAGTGCTTTGATGCATTGCTTGTGAGCACTTTGTTACTAATTTTAAGAGTACAACAACACCAAAAATTATCGCTACGCCATTTGACTCTCTATTTCTATAGTAATTCTAAATTCTACATGTAGCACTACTTTGCTGGGTCTGAGAGTTGAAGCGCTAGGCCACTCATAGTATTTTTATATATTTTTTATTCTAAATATTGATGCCATTCTCTCTCCCTCCCTCAACTCAACATTTCCTTGCCCGAGAAGAAATTGATGGAGGAGAAGTAAGGGGAGAAGAGGAGAGAGAAAGATCTTCGGGAGATTTTTGTCCACCATTTCTTTTATGAAAATTATTCTATTTTTTATAAGTAAAAAATCTCTTACTTCTATTTTTGATAATTTTGATTCTACGGATTTTCTCTCCTAATTTAAAAAAAAAAAACATTATCTCCTAATTTTATAAGCTTTCACTATAAAATTTATTTATATGTTATAGATATGATCATTATAAATAATATGATATGATTTTATTACTTTTTTATTGGGTAGAATGTGTATATGAATATTTCTGTGAAATGAGTAGGGAAAATAATATATTGAAAATGGGTTGAAGGTGATGTATTATAATTTAATATGATAACACTGAAACATAATATTTTTTGAAATGATTAATAAGATTGATATATACTAGAATATGATATTGATATTTTTAAAAGGACATGCTAAACTGGTTTGACTAAAAAGATATACTAATTGATATCAAATATATGATATGGCAATCTTATATGATATCCTCAAGATCCATTTGGTCCACTAACAGGAGTCAATTGTAAGGAGTTGGGATGACTAATTCACATAATTTAAGGGAAATTATAAGAAGTATACTGATTGAGAGTCATAAGGGGTGATTGATTGGGGGTCATAAGTATAGGAGCAAGATATCATCATATAAATATATGATATATATTTTGATTATTATATAGATTACATACATATATTGATCATTATTACTGAAATAGATTACAATCACTGATAATATGCTGGCATTATTATTAATACTATTATGTTATTGATTACTGAGTATTGATACTGATACTGATACAATTTTGGTACTAAAATTGAACACTATTATTATGATTGTAAATGATAGAGATAGATGTGAA